ATAAAAGAAAAAAAAGACAAGTTGGTTGAAAATAAAGGGCTAGAATAAAAAGTACTGAGCTATTATTAAAGGCTGAAGTAAAATCTGAAAGTCCATACTGATGTTTCTAGTCTTTTCTTGGGGGGCGTACCGGGGATCGAACTTAAGTCCTTGTGCTTGCGAGGTAGGTGACAGAACAACTGAGCTAAATCCTCGGCCAATAAAGATGTTTCTAACACAATCAGTTCTAGATCTAGAATTAGATGGCTTCAATTTAATTTTTTCAGTATAGTTATATACAAGCACAGTAATAATCTGACTTGAGGACATTCTCACGCTCAATCTTCACTGTTGGTGGCTTCAGGTTTTTGTTTTCTGGTTTTTTTTTTGGTACTGGGAATCGAACTTAGGTCCTTGCAAGGCAGGCCACCGAACCACTGAGCTAAATCCCCGGCCCTAAGGTTTTTGTTTAAATGTCAACCTGTTTTGCTTTTTTTTTGACACTCTAATATAAATAAGTTTTTTTGTTAAGTACTTAATCTAAATAAAGTCCCTTTGCTGGACATGGTGGCACATGTATCCTAGAGCTTAGGAGGCAGAGGCAGAAGGATCCAGCAAAGAGATCAAGGCCAGCCTAGTCTACAGTGTGTCAAAAACCAAAATAAATAAAGTCCCTTGTTATCTTCTGTTATGTATCCTATTAATTTTCTTGATACCATACTGGCAGATTATAATTAGGTAATTACATATTGAAATGCTTGCTTACTGTTTTCTTCAATATGTAAACAAATTAACTCCATGAAGGTAGGTATGTGTGTGTTTTGAAGATGCAGTTAACTCAATTTCTCACTAAGCTTGTACTATAATGAAATCCAGGGAATTACTTCTTAGTGTTTAAAAATGGAGCTGAAACGCTATATACTTTCACTTAAGATCTGAGGACAAGATAGGGGTTCTAAAAGATTGCAAGAGTTATTGGCGATATATGCCATGGATATACAAAGGGATTATTGAAAGAATTTGAATAGTTAATTCCCGATGTTACTAAATTTACACTGTTCTACCCTGAGGAACATCTTCTGGTCTCATACTTATTTTAAGGTATACCTTTGTAATTTGCTTTAGTAATTAACACAAATACATTAAAAACATGGGATGATGTTGAACTCAGAAGGGCCAACCACTAGGTACTACAGTAACAACTAGTAGAAATTAGAGCAAAATATCCAAATTCTTCAGAAAACTCAGCCAAGTCCTTTCTCTTATAGCCTTTGGTCCAAACAAAGACCTACTTGGCTTCAAAGCAAGAAGCCAGGCTGATAGCTTAGCTGGGCAGTGCCAACTTCAGGATACCCACGAAGTAGACAAGGCTGTGTCCAGTTTTCATGTTGCAACTATTGCTTCAACTACAATTTGGCAAACTCAAGTATTACATAAAAATTCACATAATGATGATAAAGTTTAAAAAGGAAGAAAAACAGGTACAAAGCTCCTTTCCCCAAACCCCTAAATATTAGGCATCTCCTCTTATGTGTTTCTTTTTTCTTTTCAGCAGAATTCAAGTTAGATATAGCTTTGTTTGTTATATGATGAAGAACACTCTGCAAGAAGAAAAAAGCATATTCTAAGTTTCAGGGGCATAATGTAATCTACTTAAAACGCCAAGTGTATAACTTTGTATTGGCAGAGTGATAGCTAATCAAATTACTTAAAAATTATACTATTAAAGACTTCAAAATCTATTATGAACCTCCAAATATGGGAAATCAAATAGATTATATGACCACGGCAAAGGATGACCTGTAAACCAGTGAGACCTGGGTTTGGTTTCTAGTATTGCTACTTACTAAATGCGGCTTTGGGCAAGACCTCGCTGAGTTTCAATTTTCACAGATATAAAATGATAATATTACTTATCTTGTAGAACTGTTTTGAGATGATAAGCTCAAGAAATGGAGCTTCCTTTTCCTACTACTGACATCTAGAATCAATGCTGTTCAATAGAACTCTTCAAGAAGATGCAAACACACGACTCTATAAAGTGCGCTATCTAATGTGGCAGCCATGTGGCTGAGCACTTGCTGTATAACTTGTCTCACCAAAGAGCTCCATTTTTAATTATATTAACTTTAATATAATTAGCCTCTTTAGGCTATCATGTTGGATAAAGCCATGAAAGTATGTTTCTTTGAAGTTTTCATCCCTAGGGGAGCCAAGAGGGGGTATAAAGAAAAACAATAGCAGATTCTTTACTAGTGTATCTCAGAATGCAGTTTAATAGATACTGTAGATAAGCTTTGTGGTCAAACATATCTAGACCATTTATCAGACCTAACTGTGCCTAAACCTCAGATTTCTTATTTATAGTGCAGGAATACTTAACACCTTCACTGAGGAATTATGAAGATAACAAATTACTTGCTCTGATATAGTATGTGCTTAACTAATCTTGTTTCCATTCCCCCACCTTCATTGTTTCTGACATGACCACACTTTCTTCACATGCTGGCCAAAGGCCTGACTTGTTACTAAATTTAATACTGACAAATGTAGTTCAACAGTTGGCACTAACTACATTTGTCAATATGAAATTTTAAGCTAATCTTTAAAAAGACTAAGTTTAAAGATATATGACTAAAAGAAAACACATTGGACATTCTGGAAATCTCAATTTTTAATCCTAAAATTATGATGTCAATAATGGGAACAGATATTGGCTAGGCAGAGAAACGAGGTTTTCCAGCTTTGTTAGCTCATTCTTTCACATTACTAAGATTCTCAGATAAGGATTAGTACTTCTGAATTACTCTGCTACAAAATTTACTTGAGGATGAAAATGAAAATCAAAATTAATTTATGCATTTTTGGACCCAGAAATTTGGCTTTGGGACTTCTGGGAATGCTACACTTTCGATTAATGTAAATACCAATAAGCCCTTAATATGACCTGGCTTTAAGTTTTGTTTCAATAGTAAAATATACGAAATATCACTATTAAGTTGTTGGTCAATATCTAGAATAAAATAACTGAGTATCACCTTTAGGCTGTTCATGAGACTGTGGGAACCGGCGGGAAGCTAATATAAAGCAGATTTCTCCATCATCATCTGAGAGTTCCCCTCAATGCTCAGGCCACACAACAGAAATCTACATTATACCTACTGCTCTTAATTTCTGTGACTGAACACTAATCACTGGAGGCAGCTAAACTGTGTCCGCGACTCTTTCCTAGCTATTTTCAGATAGTGCACCAAGGCATAATGTATGAAGACTAAAACAATTATTTAACTCATACTTTACTTCACTGTCAGTTTTGACCAGGGGCTTAACAGGGGATTTTAATTTTAGCCAAGTAAGTTCTGTATTAAAAACTTAACCCGTTACATAATTTCTGAGCACTGAACACAAATACCAATGGGGAAAAAGTTTAACTAGGTACAATATACTGTGTAAATCCTTGATTTAAAAAACTTGGCCTATTTAAATACTTTTACTTTGGCCTTATCCTCTTGTTCCACATGCTCTTAAGTAAATAACAAAAAACAGCATTAACCATTTCATCAGATATAATAAGAGAGGCATATGGTGTTTGTATTATACAACCAAGGACAAATACCTTAATAAGTCATCTATAACTTGGTTGTATCCAACATCCACACACACACAGAGAAACAGAAACAACTAAGAAATAAATGGATCAACTCCAAAAATCTCCAATGTCTTATCTCTTTCAATCAACAAACCAAAGTACTTAAGATACCAACCAACCACCATACACCAAAATCAGAAGGACATTATTTCCGAGTGTCAATTAATCTCATGCACTAATAGATTAAAACAAGAAGGAAACTACCTTGTTTCCAGACTGTCAACTCCCTTAACTTCTAAGATGTGGATGTACTCTTTCCAGTGAAAGGTCAGTTTAGGTGTTGAAACTTACTATTTATTCTTACTGTAGATGTTTTATAAAAGTTTAGTATTTACTTGCATAATCAGAAACCACAACTGTGTTCAATTTTATGGGACACCAACAGGTTCCATCAGTCTGAAGTTCATTTGCATAATCAAAATTGTATGCTACAACCACACTTGTGAAAGAAGGGCTAGTAACCCAAATAACCTAGCTAGACAGTCGTTTGAAAGCAAAGTTCTGAAAATCTTCAACTTGCAGAACTGGTGCACAAGGGGGTCTGAATTTATAGCTTTTCTAAATTTTTCTCCTCAGTTCTGCTAGGTGAACATACAATAAATGAACCACTATCTCCGCGTATCTGAATACCTGTCTTCCCATTGGGTAAAAAAAGAAAAAGAAAAAAAGCAAACCAGACATACACGACTGCTGGGTACATAAGCTCCACCTCCAACACCCAGGAACACTCTTGCCAGTCTTTAATAAGATCTGCATTCTGATCTGTCCTCATCCCACATACAGTGTTAATCTTGGAAAGCATCTCAGAACCAAAACTGGTTTAGAGAGAGTCGGAGGTGTTGCTTATACACCAGGAGTCCAGACTGGAGGGGCGGGACCTGGAACTTAAGTGTCCCTGAACGTGGCTTTAGGAGTAGTAGTGAGAGGAAAACGGAGATTAGCGGCAGAGAAGAGTAAAGAAAAAAGGCTGTGCGTTACAAGGCCTAAAACTTCAGGTCTTAACTTTAAATCTCCCTCCTGCCCCTATCCATCCCAGCAGTCAGAAAGCTCAGGAAAGGTTGAGGGTCAGCGTGACCGGCGACAACTCTAAAAATTCTTAAAAATGTCAGCCCAAGAAAAAAAATGCAAGGAGGAACGCGACTGGACGAAGCTCCCTGCTGGAAGCGTCCCAGGGACCCCGACTTCTGGGGGCCAGAGTCGGGGACGCCCGTGGAGGAGGTGCGTGCGGGGCCGGCTGTCCAGGTGCTGCAGCCAGGGCGCGGGGTCCGGACCACTGGAGAACTGGGCCAAGCCACCTGGTGCCCAGGGCCTCCCCGCCAGGAGGGTCGTGCTTGGGGCGCAGGGCCTCCCTTCCCCGCCAACTCCTACTCACCGGGGCCGTAGAACTTGCTGCCTTTGGTCACGTCGAAGACTTTCCCATTGACCGCCAGCAGGATGCGCGGGGTGCGGGACCCGTCGTACTGGCGTAGCTGTTCCAAGCTGAAGTCCCGCTTTTTCATGCGTGGCAGGGACGCCGCGGGGCTCTCCTCGCCCGCTCCCGCTCCCGCGCCCAGACCCCCAACTCCTACTCACCGGGGCCGTAGAACTTGCTGCCTTTGGTCACGTCGAAGACTTTCCCATTGACCGCCAGCAGGATGCGCGGGGTGCGGGACCCGTCGTACTGGCGTAGCTGTTCCAAGCTGAAGTCCCGCTTTTTCATGCGTGGCAGGGACGCCGCGGGGCTCTCCTCGCCCGCTCCCGCTCCCGCGCCCAGACCCCC